TCAATGCTCCCCGAGCCATCTCACGGTGACGTTTTCTTCGACATCGAGGGAGATCCCTTCGTCGGGCCCGGTGGACTGGAGTACCTCTTCGGTTATGTGGCTGCGGACGATACCGGTGAGCAGCGATACACGGGGCTGTGGGGACTGTCACCCGAAAAAGAAAAGCGGAACTTCGAAGTGCTCGTGGACTGGCTGATGGCACGCTGGGCGAACCACCCTGGTATGCACGTATACCATTTTGCCCCCTATGAGCCCAGCGCGCTTAAGCGACTCATGGGACGGTATGGCACTCGTGAAGACGAGGTAGACCAGATGCTTCGGGCCAAGCTGTTTGTCGACCTGTACCGGGTAGTCAGGGGCGCGCTCCGCGCGAGCGTGGAGAGCTACTCCATTAAGGAGCTTGAGAAGCTCTTCGATTTCAGGCGTGAGGTCGACCTGCGCGACGCTAACCCGGCCTTGTACGGCCTCGCGGTTCCTCTGGAACTGGGAGACCCGGATTCGATAGCCGCCGGGCATAAGGAAACGGTGGAAGGTTACAACCGAGACGACTGTTTCTCGACCCTTCACCTGCGTGACTGGCTTGAGGAGATCAGGTCCGCCCTCGTTGACGACGGCAAAGAGATTCTAAGGCCCGACCCCTCGGATCCACAGGCCTCAGAATCGCTCACCGAGCGACAGGAGATGATCGCAGAACTGGCTAGTCGCATTGCAGGGGATGTGCCGGTGAGTGAAGAGGATCGTGACGGCGAGCAGCAGGCTAGGTGGGTCCTCGCCAACATACTGGACTGGCACAGGCGAGAGGAAAAAGCCGTCTGGTGGGAGTATTTTCGGTTGAGTGAGCTCACGGCTGATGAACTGCTCGACGAGCAAGCTTCACTGGGCAGACTGCAGTTCATTGGTGAGGCCGGTGGCACCGCCAGGGTTCCTGTCCACCGCTATAGCTTCCCGCTACAGGAGACATCGCTCCGTGGTGGCGAGGGATTGAAATCCTGTGGCGGTGATGACCTCGGGCGACTGGATGCGGTCGATTCGCAGAATCGCACCATCGACATAAAGAAGAGAGGGACAATGTCGGACGTCCATCCCGAGGCCGTTTTCGCCCATGATATTGTTCCAACTAAAACCTTAAGAGAAGCGCTCGTGCAAATAGGCGAGCGCGTCGCCGAGTCCGGTATTGAAGGCGAGGGAGCCTATCGTGTAGCACGAAACCTGATTCTCAGGGAGCCTCCGCGCCTAGATGGTGAACAGGTCCGTAGACCCGGCGAAACGGCCCTGGACGCCGCGCTCCGCATTGTGCGGAGGCCGGACTTCGGCGTTCTGCCGATACAAGGCCCGCCGGGCTCCGGCAAGACCTACACCGGAGGCAGACTGATCTGTGAACTCGTTCGCAGCGGCGCGCGGGTTGGAGTCGTCGCAAACAGCCACAAGGTCATAGTCAACCTGCTGGAGGCGACGATGGAAGCAGCTGATGAGCAGGGTATTGAACTTAGAGCGGTAAGGAAGCCCAGCGGTTCTGACAATGAACCTGAGGATAGCAGGATAATCAAGGCGACTACTTATCCGAAGTTCTTCGGCAATCTGGCCGGCGACTGCCGGATAGGAGCCGGCACCGCCTGGTTGTGGTCCAGACACGAGGCGGAGAATACCGTGGACGTCCTGTTCGTCGACGAAGCCGCCCAGATGTCTCTTGCAAACGTACTGGCAATATCTCACGCCGCGCCGAATATGGTGCTCCTGGGTGACCCTCAGCAGCTGGACCAGCCCATGCAGGGGACACATCCCGACGGAACTGCCGTGTCCGCCTTCGAACACCTGCTTGGCGGACGCCGGACCATCGAACCGAGCAGAGGGCTGTTCCTCGAAGAGACCCGGCGCCTGAACCCTGAGATCTGCAGATTCACCTCTGAAGCGTTCTACGAGGGCAAGCTCTTGTCGCGGCCCGGCCTCGACGGTCAGCGAATCGTCTCATCGGGCCCGCTTGATGGAGCAGGATTGCGCTTTCTGCCGGTCATTCACCGCGCCAATCAGAGTTCCTCCGATGAGGAAGCAGACTGCGTAGGCGATCTCGTTAACAGACTTCTGGAAGAGGGCGCGAAGTGGATCGACAAAGACGGCGCAAAAAGAGCGCTGACACTCGACGATATTCTGATTATCGCGCCATACAACGCTCAGGTCTTCAAGATACAGGAGCTACTGCCCGGAGCGAGGGTGGGCACGGTGGATAAGTTCCAGGGACAGGAGGCTCCGGTGGTTATATATTCGATGACGACCTCTACTCCGGAGGATGCGCCCCATGGCATGGAGTTCCTGTACAGCCTGAACAGGCTGAACGTGGCTACCTCCAGGGCTCGCTGCGTCTGTGTCCTCGTGGGATCGCCGGAGCTGCTCTCTCCGGAATGCCGGACTCCGCGCCAGATGCAGCTGGCGAATGCGCTATGCTTATATAGCGAATCGGCGACCGAGTTGGTACCTTAAAATTGGAAGTCGCCGTTTCCCGATGCAAGGCATGTCGCCCAGGAGACGTCTCCAAAGTGCGTAAGCGGTGTGTAGGAAATGGTCGCACCTGATCTTGCGTCTAAGAGCCTGTTCACAATCTCTTTAGAATTAGCGCCGCGAAGGCAAGCACCGCCATTTGCGGACTGATGTTGAGTTTTCTTTCGCAGTTCTTCCAGAGTCGGCGGCACTTTTGCAGCCAGGCATAAGACCGCTCTACCACCAATCGCTTCGGGAGTACCACGAAGGTGTGAAGTTCGCTGCGCTTCACCACTTCCGCCGAGGCTCCTAACAGACTTTGCACCGCAGTGGCAAAGGGCTTCCCGGTATAACCCCCATCGACAAGTACCTTTTGCGCCCCTCTGAGGTCGGCTCCTCTTTGGTCGAACAGCGCCAGAGCCCCGAGCGCGATGCGGCGCGGTAGTCCGTTGGTCCTCTGGCTAGCCGCTACCGAGACCGTTCAGAACGGCGAAGTCATGAGGGCTCCGCCACTCGCTTAGAGCTGACGCAGTCTTGGGTCGAACCTGTCACGCATCCAGTCACCGAGAAAATTCAGAGACATGACTATCAGGAAGATTGCAAGCGCAGGCAAGGTTGATATCCACCAGGCATCGCGAAGGTACTCTCTCCCGTCCGCGACCATGTTGCCCCAGGTGGCTGTTGGAGGTGGAATGCCCGCTCCCAGGAAGCTCAGCGTCGCCTCCGCCAGGATTAACTGCCCGGTACGCAGCGTGGCGATAACGAGGATGGTGTTGATGACGCCCGGAAGTATGTGTTTGACTAGAACTCGAAAAGTAGATGCGCCAGCGACACGCGCCAGCGACACGTAATCGCGCTCCCTTATCGAGAGCACTTCAGCCCTTATATATCGGACATAACTCGACCACACAAGTAGAGCCAGAACTCCCATCATGGTGTTCACGCTGGGAGTGAGCAAGATGGCGATTATCATAGCTACTAAAATGAACGGCAGCCCAAACCAGATGTCCACAAAACGCATAATTACTTCGTCGAACACCCCTCCGAAGTATCCGGCGCTTAGTCCCAGTGCAGTACCCACAATGGTTCCGGTCACGAGCGCGACGGCGGCGACACCCAGCGAAATTCTGGCGCCGTGAACAAGGCGGCTCCACATATCGCGACCGATATTGTCGGTGCCGAGGACGTGGTCGAAGCTTCCCTCGGAAGACCAGAAGGGCGGCATGAGCCGCTCTCTTATGTTGTTCTTCAGTGGGGGCTGAGTTTCAATCACTGGCGCGAAAATCGCCATCCCAGCCAGCATGACAAGGACGACAATAGGAATGACTGGCCACCTGCGCAGAAAATCGAAAACGCCGAATCGTCGCATCCAACGCGCCCGCGTACCTGGAATTGCTCTCGCAGACAACTCTGTCATTGGATTCCTTAGTTGTACCTTATTCGGGGGTCTATAAAGGCGTACAGGACATCGGCGACAAAATTGGCGGCAATGAACAGCGCGGTGAACATGACGGTGATTACTACGAGAATGTTGATGTTATTCGTGAACACCGATTGCACTGCGAAGGAGCCGATTCCAGGCCAGGCGAAGACGGCTTCCACGACCACCGCCCCTGTGATGAATCCGGCGAAAACGAGAACCGTGGCTGTGAGCGGGGCCAGCGCCGCGTTCTTGAAAGCATGCTTCCATATTACTGTCGACGACCCTACACCCTTTGCCCTCGCTAACTTGACGAACTCCGAGTCAAGAACTTCAAGCATGGCTGACCGCGTCAGGCGTAGGTATGATGCCGCTGGAAGCCATGAAAGGGTAATCGTCGGCATAATGTAGTTTCGGATTGCCAGACCCTCTCCCTGTGTGCCTGCTGGCAACCATCCCAGCCACACCGTGAACAGCAGTATCAAAATGATAGCCAGGACAAACGCGGGAGTGGCCTGCCCCAAGAGTGCGAATGTACGCCCGATGTAGTCCCAGGGAGTTCCCCTCTTCACCGCGGATAGAACGCCCAGAGGTATTCCCACAATTGTTGCCAGTACCCAGGACACGATCCCGAGTTTAATTGAAGGGACGAATTTCTTCTTCATCTTTGGCCAGAGAGGCAGACCATCCTGCAGATCGGTGCCTAGATCCCCGTGAGCCAGATCCCATAACCAGTATCCGAACTGGACTGGTATGGCGTCGTTCAGGTGGAGCTCATCGGCCATCCTGTTCCAGACTTCTTCGTCTATCCCCTTGCGTCCCTGCTCTGGAAGCAGCAGGTATTTTGGATCGGCCAAAAGCCTGGACGCCGAAAACACTAGCAACGCCGCGGCGAGGAGGGCTAAGATCGATCCGATGGCTCTGCGGACTATGAACTTGCGCATCTAATCTCCGCTCAGAAAACCAATTCGACGATGGAGGCTTGTCAAACATAGAGAACTAGCGTTTGCCAGCATCAAGACACCTCAGAACGATTCCGAGGTGTCTTGGTTCCGGTCAGAGCGCCTTAGCTTCCTTTAGGGTGGTACCGCTTTGAGTAGGTGGCCGTCTACTTGAGTTGTATCCACTCGAAGCTGCGCATCCCCGACCATCTCATCCAATGGAACGGCCGCATCTGCTCCCACTCCATCGCCTCGGGGTCATACACCGCGCCGCCCGGGTGCTGCACTATGCCGGGCCAGACATGCCATTCGCGCAGGAAGCTATACCAGTCACTAGAAGCAGCCTTCAACTCCTCCGGGTCTGTAGTGTTGCTCTTGCGGTCAAAGCTTTCCCATGCTTCGTCGAATTCTTGTGCGGTGTTGTAACCACCCGGGAAATTGGCGGCGTTTTGAGGCCATTCTAATGGCCAGGCCGGAAGACCGTAACAGCAGCCGTTGAAAATGTCGGTGTTCGTGCGGTTAACGATGGTGGGTCGCCAGGATGTATATATCTGGCGGTCGAATGTGGTCTCGATGCCCAAGTCTCCCAACCAGCCGGCTGCAACCGTCTCGAATATCTCAATATTGCCGGGGCCGCCATACCATTCGACTTCAAAGCCGTCCTCGTATCCAGCCTCAGCCATCAACTCTCTTGCCCTGTCGGGATTGTACTCGTAGGACCACATGTCCTGATTTTCTATGAATATAGGGTCATCAACCCATATGCCGCCAAGGTGGTGTGGCAAGCCCAGCCCGGACAGAATGGTGTCGTTAATAGCCTCTCTGTCTATTGTTATTGCCATTGCCTCACGTACAAGCTTCGAACGCTTCATAGAGGGGGTATCAGGATCGAATGTATCCCCATTCTCGAACGGGTCACCTACCCACGGCTTGCTGATGTCCCTTGTGCGTTCAAGCGGCTCTCCAGTCATCGGATGATGCGACTGCCAGTAGTTCCCCGCCATGCTGATGGCAAACACCGTATTCGTCGTCTCGGGAGCCAGCGTAAAGCCGTCATCGAATAGAGCGGACCAGTCCTTCAATGCTATTTCGGCAGATTGGACCTGCCGGTTTTCCAGCATTGCGCGGCGCGTGGAAGCCTCAGGGACATGCAGCATTCTCACTCGGTCGATGTAGGGCGTCTTTCGCCAGTGGTCTGGCACCGCCTGAAGATCGACCACTTCCGCGTCGGTCCACTCTACGACCTCAAAAGGTCCGGTGCCGACAATATTTTCTTCCATGTACGCGATGCCCTTGTCGTCGTAGATCGCCTTGGAGAAGGGCCCCATGCCCTCTTGGACGTCCGTATATGTCATCCAGAGAGTGTGCCCGGCGAATGCCGCCCAGTTGAATCGGAAAGTCTTGTTGTCAACGACCTCAGCGTTATCCAGAATGCCGTGCTGCTGAACGCCGGTGTCGTGTCTGGACTCCGGGTTGTTGAGGGGATGGATAAGGTTGAAATACCAAACCACATCATGAGCTGTCAGCGGTCCCCAACCTTTGTGGAACTCTATGCCGTCGTGCACTTTGAAGTCGGTGTAAGCGAGGTCTCCGGAGGTCTCCCAAGACTCGACTATCCAAGGAACTAGCTCAAGTCCGCCATCGTTGGCACGCCCGGCATGAAACAGGGCTTCGTGTGTGCCTAAGTGTACGGTATCGGCGCACCATACACACTCGGGGGGCCAGCCCGTCATGGTTCTGACTACGGATACCGCTCCTGTGAAGGTTCCCGTCGGTCGTATCTCGACTTCCGGAATGGGCGTTGCAGGAATAGCCGTCGCGGCAGGAGGGCTGGTTGGGGCAGGCTGAGGAGCGGGCGCTATGGTAACGACAGGCGCAGGCACGGGCTGTTGTGGTTGTGCCGGCGCGGCTTGCTGGGGTTGTGTGGGCGTGGGTGCGGACGCGGGAGTACATCCCACAAGTAATGCAAGTCCGATGGAAATAATCAGGGGTAAGATGTGATACGTTCGAACTGACCTACGCATAAAGACCTCCTCGTTTCACTGCCAAGTATGTAATCCAAAAGAAAGCTAAAGGTCTTTTGTTTGAAACCTCCTAGGGTCCATCAGACTCTTGTGGACGATTTAGTCAACATAACATAACCCGTGCAAGGAATATACGACCCCCTGCCGATGTTGTCAAATGGCTCATAGCCCTTGCTGGTGTGCCTGAACTATTGGCGACGTGACTGGGTTTGCGATGGGAGGCGCCGCGTGGTGTGGCAGGGCCTCCCGGTGGGTGCGGGGCGGCGCCCGCAACCGGTACGATTTTGAGGGGCTCAGTCTTCGCGACCCGGTGGCGGAGGGGGTTGTGGGCGGGAGTCACCCCCCGCTTAACTCACCTTTTCGCTTCTTCTTCTTACCTTTTTCCACCCCCACCTTTTTAATCCCCTTCCCGCCCTTCGTCTTCCAGACTCACCTTATGGGGTTGATCCTCATCACTTCATTCTTTTCTCCCCCCCTCCCCACCTCTCTTCTTTCCCCCTATTTCCCTTCTCCTCTCGACCCCTACTGTTCCTTCCTCTGATTCCCTCCCCTACCAGCTATTCTCTCTTTCCCTCCTGGACGGCGCATCGAGAAACGGACTGGTCTCGAAGGGAAGAACCGATAGGGACTGGGCCCGTGGAGCGTCATGATTCTGACCTTCTTTCATGTCGAGGATAAGAAAATATACACCAGAAGAGCGACTTGGCCGCCCCCCGCCCCCCCCCCCACGGAAACTTGCCCGTCAACTCTCCAGCTGTTTTTGGTGCGGTGCCGTAGCTATGGCATTGCCCACGCCAATATCCGGAGTCTGAGAAGAATGCAAACGTCAATTCGTTTAGAAGATTCTGTGGTAACATCTCGCCATCATTTGCCTAAGAGTTGCCTGCTACGCTCAGATTTGGTCAGGCTATATGGGGTGGACCCCACCGAGCACCTCAGTCCTTGTCGCCAAGCTTATGTCTCCGACCATGTAATGCCTCCCTAAAGTTTTGGAACACCATTGTGAGGTAACGACCTGAATTTGGTAACATTTTCATTGAGGCAACGCGAGGCAAAAGTAATTGTCGCGTATCAACTCCTGCGGCGGAGCATTAAAAGAGATGCTTGCTCCGCTCTTGATAGTGTGTCTCTGTGCCGCAGCGTATGGGCCCTCATCTTCCGGCATATAGACGCACATTTCGGTACGCGTTACAGGAAATTGTACAGGGTTAATTCCCCGTTTCCGCCACGAACAAATGACTTGACATGAGGCTATTTTTGCACCTTTCTAAATGCGTTATAATTACCCTTATACGGTATTATTAACCTTGTGACTCAGGTGCTTCCTCAATTCTCTCTCACCGACCGCTCGCCTGCACACCCGGCAGAATCTATTGACGCAACCGGCAAAATAGGTTGACGCGTAACACCTGGACCGTAGGGAACAATGCCCTGGTTAAATCCCGCGCCGCATGTCGAGATTCAATGCAATCGATTGCGGAGTCGCTTGACGAGACGATAGGAGGTCAGCATGCAGACGGTAGGCTTCATAGGGCTTGGTAACCTGGGAACGCCAATGGCGCGAAACATCCAGAGGGCTGGGTTCCCCATAGTCGTGTTCGACGTGGTGGAGGGTGCGACGAGGCCTCTACTCGAGGGTGGCGCTCGGTTTGCGGCTTCCCCTGGAGAGGTCGCGGCCGCCAGCGAAGTGATTCTCAGCTCGGTGCCGGGGCCTCCCGAGGTGGAGCAGGTAGCACTCGGCCCCGAGGGGATCGTCAGCGGCATTGGTGAGGGGGACGTTTACGTGGACCTCTCCACCAGTCGGCCTTCCCTCATACGCGAGATCGCGGGCGTCTTCGAAGGGAAGGGCGCCCATGTGCTCGACGCCCCGGTACTGACAGGTCCAGCCGCCGCTGAGGACAGGGAGGTGATCGTCATGCCCAGCGGAGACAGGGAGGTGTTCGAGCGCCTTCTTCCGGTGTTCGAGGCCTTTGCCGACAAGGTCGTCTACCAGGGCGAGCTGGGCATGGGAAGCGTCTGCAAGCTGGTCAACAACATGATCACCCTGGCCGTAAGGCAGGTGGTTGCAGAGGGACTAACTCTGGGTATGAAGGCCGGGCTCGACCTGGAGGCCCTCATGGAAGCTGGCAGCAGAATGACTCTGGGCACTCAGAGAGAGGGCCTGGAGAGGACCGTGTTCCGGGGGGAGTTCGAGCCTCCCTCCTTCAGGCAGGCTCTGGCTAGAAAAGATATAGGACTCGCGAACGAGCTGGCCCGGGAACTGAGCGTTCCAATGCCGGTTGCGAACATTGTGGAGCAGGTCGCCATCCAGTGCGGTAACCGCGGCTGGGGAGACCTGGACACCCACGTCATTTACCGGCTGCAGGAGGTCGCGGCGGGTGTGGAGATCAGGCCACGCTAGTCCGCCGCGTGGCCCAACGGTCAGCCTCTGACCCTCTGGTACACTTGGACCCGGTGCCTGGAGGACTCCGTGACATAGAGCCTGCCATCAACGTCGAGCGTAACGGAGGCCGGGCCCCAGAAGTACGGCTCCGTCTGCGTCGATACCAAGTAGGGCGTGTTGAAGTGGGAGGGTAGGTCGGGCACCAGGTTGGACTGGTCTCTCGTGGTGCTCTCGTCCGGATTGACGTCGAGGAACTCCTGCGCCCACTTCGAGACCGTGGCCTCGCCCCGGAGACTCTGCAGGAATGCGCCGTCCGGCGCCAGCAACTGCACGCGCTCGTTACCCCAATCGGCGACGTAGATGTACCCTTCGGCGTCCACCGCCGGCTTGGCGGGCCTGTGGAACTGGCCCTCGCACTCTCCCGGCTCTCCAAAAGCGGCCAGAAAGCGGCCGTCGGCTGTGAACTTCTGGATGCGGTCATTGCGCCAGTCAGCGACGTATACGTTGCCCTGCGTGTCTAGAGTTATGCCCCAGGGGAGGTTGAACTGTCCCTCCTCTTCACCCCTCTCCCCCCACTGCAGCAGGTGCCGACCGTCGGCGGTGAACTTGTGCACGCGACAGTTCTTCTGGTCCACGACGTACACGTTGTCGTCGGCGTCGATGGCCAGACCGGAGGGACCGTCCAGTTGTCCGTCGCCGCTGCCGTGCTCTCCCCACTTGTTCTTGAACGCTCCGGACCTGTCGAACACGGTGACGCTGTGATGGTACTCGTCGGCGACATAGATGTTCTCCCGGTTGTCGACAGCGATAGCCGTCGGCAGCCAGAACTGCCCGTCTTCGTGGCCGTAGGAGCCAAACTCACCCAGGTACTCCTCGTCGAGAGTGCACATACCGACTCGAGCGAGCGCTGCGTGCCGATTTAGCACGTAGATGCGGCCGCCCTGGCCGATGGCGAGGTCCACAGGGTGCCCGAAGCCTCTGCCGGTCGGGTTGTTGTTCATTACGCCGATGGTCTTGAGATAGCTCAGACCAGGGGCATTTGCTCGATTGACGCCGCTCAGTGGTCGCTCCTTGCCAAATGGGTGCCGTGGCCCGCTGCTTCGCGCCGTGAGGCTACGCCCGATGGAACTCCTTTGTCGCCGCGATGAGGCCCAACAGCTCTGCGACGCGGCTTTCGGACTCTCTCACCGCCGTCCGAGGTCGGAGGGATACATCGCCCTTCTTGCTGACATGACAAACCAGCGCGTTGCGGGTTGACTCCTCCACCTTTGTCAGCGGGCCCATAAGGTCCAGGCAGCTATCAACCAGCTCCTCGGGAGTGAAGGTGCTTCCATTCTGGTTGGCCAACCGGTCGATGATTTGCTGTACGCCGGGCTTTTCGACGTCGTTGAACTGCTTTGCCGCGAAGTTCACCCTCTCCACTAACGCTCCGCTGTTGATCCACTCCGTGCCCTCATGCCAGCCCTCCACCGACGGCGGGACCAACAGGCTCTGCCCCATGTACCCAATCACCGCGTTGGCCTCCTTCACATCCAGCGTCGGCTCGGTAACGCCGCCTCCGAGCCGCATTGTGCCCGCTACGAACTCGGCGGGGCACTTCACGCGCGCGAACTGGGCCTCCTTGAAGAAATCAGAGTTGAATAGGACTCGCAACATGGAGCGTATGTCGTGACCGCTGTCCACGTATACGCCCGCCAACGTCTCGATGGCGTCTGGGTCCAGTGGTGGAGTGTAGGGCCACTGTGGGACCGGGGCCTCGTCCGCCACAAAGAAGTCGTAGATGTGCCTGGCGATGAACCTGGCGGTCGCGGGCTGGCGAGCGATTATCTCGATTACGTCCTCTCCGTTGAATGGCCCACTCTCTCCCAGGAACTCCTTTTCGCCGTGGTCGTGGTCGTAGTCCCGGTAGTCGAAGTGCCAGGCGATTGCACCGTACGGCCAGATCGAGGCCTTCATGGCCCTCGCGGCCATGTACTCCGCGTTGCCCACAGTCCAGCCCGTGAATGCCCGGGCGCACTGTTTGATATCGTCCTCTGTGTAGTTTCCGATTCCCATGGAGAACAGCTCGAGCAGCTCGCGGCCGAAGTTCTCGTTGATGACCCCATTGTGATTGTCCTGGTTGTCCAGCCACATGATCATTATCGGGTCTCTGGATATCTCCAGTAGAAGGGTGTCGAACCTGCCCAGGCCGAATCGCCGGAACACGTCGATCTGGACCGCCAGCGACCGGGCCTGCTGGGTCTTGCTGAAGCTGGAGGCGAAGATGCCATGCCAGAAGAGGGCGATCTTCTCCTCGAGAGGACTGCTGGTGGTGACCATCCGGTAT